GAAATCGCTAAAAGAGGCTGTGGCTTTCACTTTCCCCAACTGTTCATCATTTGTAAAGGTACAATGTATATTTATATTACCCTATGCCTCTATGCAACAAACAGTCAGTCACCAGCGACAAGAATAATATAATAAAAATAATAGCCAAATTATGATGAGTACGAAAGTCATTTTTCACGTTAAAACTTGTTATGTATTTCTTTATACAGAACGTTTTGGAAATTCACTCTCCCCTAAAAAAACAAACAACCCCAAAGCAACAAAATAGTTTTTTTTTAAAACATCAGCCTCTTTCGGACTAAGCTTTTGATTTTATAATGAGCTTTTCGTGGTACATAATTATATGCAAATATATTTCATTGGGGGGTCTAGTGAAAAATATACTAAGCCACAATAATCTTACTATGACTTAGTCCCTTTTCCACCATAATTAATTGATGCTTTAAAAAAATGAAAGTACAGTTTGTAAATGACTTAGTTAGGTTTTTGACTCGACTGAATTTATAGGGATCTTCGACTGGTACTGTTGTAGGTTACGGGCTAGTACCATGATCTTTTTCCCTTCTAAAAATGGACTTATCCAATCCTGCTTTCCACCTTAGTCCTCTAATTAATAATAATAATACCCTTATCCGAGTGAAATGTTGTAAGGTGCAGAAAATGACTTTCGTTCCATCCAGTGAAATGATAATATTGTATAATATTTGGTCGCTTTTAAGCACAAGGGGGCTATCCCGATAAATGCTGTTTTGAGAAAATGGAAGTTAAAGTTTTTGGATCCTCATTCAGTCTCTTTAAAAGACGAGGAGAGTGTTTTCTATAACCAAACAAAATAAACCCAACAAAATTCACCAACGAAACCAAACTTTTCCTATAGGTAGGACAATGCCCACTATTGGTGCAGGTAAAGATTTCTGGAAACCCCCGAAATCTGGGTTATCCCGATTATCCTTAAAAGCAACCATATAATATAATTTATAACAAGCGTGAAAGAAAATGCTGATATCGGATGGAAGGGGTGCAAAGGGAAGACAGATCTTCGTCATACTGAATTTTCTGAGACCCGGAATGCCCAGCGCTTGTCCTGGTTTCTTGGCTGAGGGAACTACACGTACAACAATGGACACAAATTAAAGGATATCTCTATAATTAGGACGTAGCCAACAGTTGGTTCGTTTCTTCTTCTTTTTCTTCTTCTTCTTCTTCTTCTTCTTCTTCTTCTTCTTCTTCTTCTTCTTCTT